AAGGTAATAAATTATATATATATATATATATATATATATATATATATATATATATATATATATATATATATATATATATATATATGCAAGTAAATCACTGTAGGTGCACGTGATCTAGGTATATGCTGATAACCACAAGAAAAGAAGAAAACACGAAGTTCCCAAGCGCTTTCATGTAATTCACATCTTCAGGGGTGAGTACAGACTAAGGAGAAGTACAAAACAATGTGCATATATACAGAGGAGGGTGAGATCAGGTCTTGGGAACTTCGTGTTTTCTTCTTTCCTTGTGGTTATCAGCATATATATATATATATATATATATATATATATATATATATATATATATATATATATATATATATATATATATATATATATGTATATATATATATTTTTTTTTTTTTTTTTTTTTTTTTTTTTTTTTTTCATTAGCCCAATAAAGCACGCGGACTTCTACATATAATCAACACTTCTTGCCAGGATTCGAACAGGGCCGTGGGTTCGAATCCCATATATATATATATATATATATATATATATATATATATATATATATATATATATATATATATATATATATATATATATATATATATATATATATATATATACAGTGGGGTATGCTATAACGAATTCATTCTACTACGAATATTCCTATAATGAACGGTTTTACCTATAAAATTGAGAATGCTATAACGAACGAAACTCCTACAACGAATTTTTTTTTTACTAATTAATTGTTTTTTTTTTATTACAAGTATTAATGATATTCTTTATTTCAGGGGTTTAGATGCATATTTATGCACTTTTTTACAATTTTTTTCAATTTTATATTATATTTTTCAGTGTTATGTGGTTGTATTTGGGGGCCTGGAACGGATTAATCCTATAACGAACGAATGCTATAACGAACAAGGTTCTGCCCACCATAATAGAGTCAAACAGTCAGTATTTTCATCAATGTTTTTACGCGCTTTGAGAATTTGCAGCCCGGAATTCATTAATAAGGAATATAAATATATCTATAATATTGGCTTGAACCTTAAATACCCTAGATTTTTCATAGACAAATGCCTGAACATTACTAACAAATCTTTTTATAGAACCGATCCCAAGCCCACCCACGACCATAAGAATCTCTAAGTATTACCATTTCATCAAAAATTCTCTCAAATTCCTTTACAACTAAAAACCTGGAACGTCAATGTGGCATTTAAAAACTCATGCACTGTTAAACAAATGTTAATCAAGAACTCCCCCAACAATACAGGTGGCTGCATTTACAAGGTTCCTTGCAAGGAATGTAATATGTTTTACTTAGGCCAGACAGGTACATATCTTGTAACTAGACTTAAACAACATAAATATAGTGTTAGGACAGGCCAGGAATCCAATGCTCTGTTTGTTCATTTGAGGGATAACAAGCATTGCATTGACTGGGATAATGCCTCCTCAATATTACCTTGTAATTCAATTAACAGTAGGAACATTATAGAATCTAGTCTCATTAAACATACCGAAGCAGTCAACATGAATTTGAGTAATGGCATGTACAAACTGGACAATTTTGTAATTAAGAAGATTTGTAACCAGGTGAGAAGGTTGGGTCACCTTACCCTCTGACCTGACTACCGACCGTTGCTGTGCTTTTTAAAGATTAGTAGGGTCATTACCTAATACCTGACCATTGTGGACCTGGTCTCACCCTCCTCTGTATATATACACCTTGTTTTGTACTTCTCCTTAGTCTGTACTCACCCCTGAAGATGTGAATTGCAAGAAAGCACTTGGGAACTTCGTGTTTTCTTCTTTCCTTGTGGTTATCAGCATATATATATATATAGGCCTATATATATATATATATATATATATATATATATATATATATATATATATATATATATATATATATATATATATATATATATTTTTTTTTTTTACGGGGATTAGCACACCCGGGCACAGGTCACTGACCCACATCGGGTCCTGGGGTCGAAAATGTAATAAAAATAATAATAATAAAAATAATAAAAATAATTCAGATAAGTAAAATTTATAATAAAAATACATATATAAAAATAATAAAATAATAATGAAACAATAGTAATAATAATAACAACACTGCAATAATAATAATAACAATAATAAAAATAAAAATAATAATAATAATAATAATAATATTAATAATAAAGACCTACAAAATGAAAATAGATCAAGAGTGAGAAACAATATATGTATATTGTGTTGTCAATGGTAATAGAAACAATTGAGGCAAAAATTCAGATTAGCATCCTGCGACTTAGTCATAATTTTCGTGATGCCATATGGTAGCGTGGTCTACTATTAGACAATACAGTATGCTTCCAATATCTTCCCAGGCAGTAGTACCTCCCTCTTTGATAGCTGCCTACTACCTACTACCTCACAAACCCCCAAAAGAGGTATTACTTGTGACGTTTTTAAAAAAAATGGCCTCCAACCTCCCCTTATAACCATACCTTCGCCACAATTATATATTACCTTAAAATTAAATATCCTAATACTTAAGTAGCTATCCTATCTGTGTTGAGTTAGTTGAGCTGCAGATCTTCGCGGCATTCAGTGACTGTTGCCTCATAGTCAATATCTGCAGCTGTTGTCGGCTTTGGGGCCGATGCTCTTGTTCCACTGAGGCAGAGCAAAGCCGACCTAAGGAGAGAGAAGTTCAGTCGACATCTCATCCAGGCTGTAACATAACTTCTGGGCTGCTGCTTCTTTTCTGATAGCACCTCCGTGAGTCTGGCATAGAAGCATCTTGCACTTGGTTCCATCCCACGAGAGGTTGTGAACGCTAGAGGAGTGAAGCTGCCTTCGTTAACGTTCTGAATTCTCTCCCCGTAATCCCTTACCTTGTCGTTCTCGTTCCTCCTGTGCGCAGCATCAAGAGCTAAGTTACGGTGACATGCGGCCATGGGATCAAAGATCCTGATGTCGAAGAAGGCTCGCTGTCCCCGTGTCCAGAATCCTCAAGCACTGACGTCAACACGGGCTTCGTTGGATGTGTTTGAAGTCCTATGTTGGAAATTCTCACCGTCCAGTGGAAGGAGGGTCGGTTCTACCCTGACATCACGGCAGATTTCCTTCATCATATTTGCTGTGAGATCCCTTATTTCGTCATGCTTCATGCATATGAAGCCCCTTTCATGCACACCATGGCGTGATCGACGTCATAGGAAGAGCCACACACGCATTAAGAGGGCAAACCTTTTACTAGCCTACTGTACCTTAGAGCATTGGCATCAGTAAATTCTTCTTTATTAAGACTGAAACCATTTGCCCTTATCGGTAACGTAGTTAACCAATTCGAGGCGCCCACCTCGTGCACTATAGCTACTTTTTTTTTCAAATTCTCTGGTACTTGCAGCAACAGTTGCTGCAACTTATCACTTTGGCCTTGTTGTCGTTCTGTCGTAATGGACCTTTGAATCTTGTTTACTGGTATCCACCTCCCCTGTTGCGTTTTGAGCTATTATGTGGTCTGTGAGGGCTGCCGTGAGCTTAACTGAGTTTTGATGTTCAGTGGCAGCAATCTCCTCTGGATTTGTCAATCCCATTCCTCCCAGTCTCGGTGGTAGTGCAAAGAGTGACATTACCACTTTTAGTTAAAAAATTAGGGTATGGGTGGTGGCCACATTGGATTTTTCTAGTATGACCGCCAAATAAGATTTCGGCTTGGCTCCTGTGGAAACATTTAAATATCATGATGACAGGAAACTGTTCAAAATATCAGAATTGTAAAAGATAGTGAACGATAGTGACTTAGCGTAAGTTAGCCTGGCTGTGATGAGACTGAAGATGCGCTAAAGAGGGACCACCATGCAGGTTGACACATTGATGAAAGTAGATGGAGTGAGCTGGAAGTGTGGACAGTTAGGTGTTTAGTGAAGCCTGTTAAATACCCTAGGTTAGGATGTCACATTTCTATTCTAAAAAAAAAATATTAATGTCTTCGATGGCGCCAGGTGGTGTTCTGGAAAAATATCGAGACGGGGGAGACGGTAGGCGGTGTTTGCTGGCGCCTATCTGTCGGGCCAGAACATTTAGAGATTTCCAAAGGGTGGCCAGAGAGTGAGCGATGCGTTACAATTAGTATGTTGTATTGCAACTGACGTGTCTGGGGATACAAATATTCAAGATAAACTCTGTGAGGCAGAAATATAATTTTCATGTAAATATTATTTATATGTCTGAAAAAATATGCAAAAGAAAATCTTTTGTGTATTTAAACATAATATAATGGACGCCCCTCGAGATCGAGGACGGCCGGCGTTAGGGCCACCTAGGTGTGAATTCGTTTAACCATAATGCCTCAAAGTGGATTATGGTCTTAAATCCCTTTATTTCTGAAAAATAAATTAAATATCTGCAAAATATTGAGGAGAAAAAAAAATCCGTGAACGATTACCCAGGTCAGAGAAAAATTGCAATTTGATATTTTAGTATTCCTTCTGACATTTATATTTTCATTTCATGTTTTGAAAATTGGTTAAACCGTTTTTGAGATATAGAGGAT